GAAGTAGTTAGACCACCAACAAAAGAGGAATTAAAAGAAGAACATGAAAAAAGAAAATTAGAAGAGATTAAGAAGAGACAAAAAAAGACTGGAAAAAGACCTAGAGTTTAGAGAACAAAAAGAGTTGGAAATGGCAGTTAAAAAAAGAGCTATAGCTGTATATTATGTAAAAGTTTCTAAATCTCATCCAGATAATGGAAGCGATATACGAAAAATATTAGAAAGCTGAAGAAAGCGGTTTAGGGAAATACTTGAAAAGGAATTCGATAAGCATGGACAATTTAAGTTCACTTTATATTCTCTTACCAAATTTCTTATAGATAATAAACCTGGAAATGAAAAACAGGAAAAAAAGAATTCATGAACTGACTGGCTTAGAAATACACAAATTATAGTTTATAATAGAAATGAAATAGATGATTACTTAAGCAGTACTTTCGAACAGATTCTATACCAAGTGGAGAAGAGAGGAGGTAAAACTAATTCTTGAGAATATATTTGGGTGGTAATACTGTGTCTGGCAGGACGATTTGCAGTTCTTCTCTTACAAATGAGCATCTAGGACCCTTGTAAAGCTTGTAGAGAATAGGCTGATTTTCTTTTATCAAATAAGAATCAATTGAAATAACTTTAGAAGACCAATTGCAATCAGTTGCCCTTCTTTTCCCATCTTCTAATTCACCGGGTTCTAATAAATGTCGAACTTTAGTATAGCTAGGTAAAAGAGGTTTATTATAACTAATTGGTCTCCTATTTTTTACTGAAGGTTTAGCTATTATTTTTTTTCCTTTTAATGCTTGTTTTATAGCTTTATTAGAAGACATACCTATCAATCGGGTAGGAGTATTATTATAAATATCATTATTTATACGAAGACTCTTAACCTATGCTCTAGATCTATCAGTCAAAGGTAAATGAAAATCTTTAGCATTTTGCCAAAAATAAGCATGCTTTTCAAATTCTTGATGGTCACGTTCAGCATTAGCTACACCACATTTAGAATTAGCATACTGAATTTTTATACTATAACTAAATAATAAATCTCTACACTCACCCAAAAATTCCGTACTTCTATTAACAATTAAAACATTTGGCCAAATAAGAGGGCAATTTGGGTTATTATAAATTTTTTGAAACACTTTAGCTACTTGTACAGATGATTTATTAGTTAAAGCAAAACTACAACAAAATCTAGTAGCTATATCATTTATTACAAGCCTATACTTATAAATTTAATTGCCTATTTTACAATAAGAAAATGGTGTAGTATTAGATTAATGAACATTGTTTAGATTTTGTATATCATTAAAAGAGATATACTGAATGAATTTAGGCCAAGGCTTATGTATTTGATATAAAGCTTGGTAGTTTAGCTATTTTTTTATCATAGATAGAGTGAACTTATACTCGGCTTTCTTGCAAGCATCCAGCATTTTTTCAGTAGTCTGATAGTAATCTTCAGGCTTATAATATAGTTTTTGCAATATGATCTCCCTATCCAAATTATAGGCCCTCTGTGAATTACGGGCTTCTCCATTCTTTTGTTTTATTATAGTAATAAAAAACAATGGACGAGTTACAACAAACTAACCAAGAACTCTATGAGGTGGTATCGTAATTAGCAGAATTAAATAGGAATTTCGAACAGTGACTATATATTTTAGAAAGAGTTATAGGTATATGGGAAGAAAGAATATGATTTCTTGAAGAAGAGTTAGGTAATGCTATAGAACTTTCTATACAAGAAAAAGAATAATTAACAGAAGAAATCTCAAAACTAAAAAGAATCATTCATCAGCTCGAAGAAGAAAATAAAAAGAAAGACAAGGAAATCTTAAATAAGGATAAGTTAATATCAGAATTCGATAAACGTGAAACAAAATTAAAAACCAGAATATGAGAAATATCAAAATCAGCTAGAAATACATCTAAAGCACAAGATTATACAACCAGATTAGTGGATGAGAATGAACATTTTAAATGAGAAATAAATACAATAAGAACTAATCAAATAAATAGGATTAGTAAAATAAATCAGCAAAAAAACTGTATTACAGACCTTCTTTGTCAAAATTTTGCATTAGCATTATTGAGATATCAAGATAGGTTAGAATTTATAAATACCAGAGAGGCTCTGCAAAATATAGAAGTATAGAATCTTAATGAAAATGAATCTGATTCTGATGAAAATTCTTTAGATATAGCTACAATAGCTGAGTTAGCTGATGCTATAGATAACTATCTAAATAATACAGCATCAAGTAGAATGATTTTGTCAAATCAAATAAAAAGAGCAACAAGATTAATTCGCCGAAAGTTTATCAATCTGCAACAGGATCTTGTAAATGAGCAATAGAACTCTTATTATTATATGCAAAAGCATGATTAATATATGCAAGAGTGAGACCAAGCATGGTAACAATTGCAACAATGCCAGGCTGACTTAGATCTTTGTGAATATAATTGAGACCGTATTTATGATAAATATTACAATAAATGGAAAAACCGAAAAGCAAGCCATATTAAATAGAAAAATAGAGAGCATAATTCACAGCAAATAATTTTGAATTTACAGCAACAAAATTTATTGCTACAGAATAATCCACTAAATATGGTGGAAGCAAGACGTTTACCTATATTGAAATATATATCTACTCTTTTAAATCCGATTCTTCAATATTTTGGTCAAATGCCCTCTAATGATTACTGTGATATGATTATACAAGCATGGGCTCCTGCTATACCAAATATAATAGCTCTTGAAGGTACAAATGCTAGAGATTTTGATAATGCTGTCAAAGTCGAAATTATAAAGGGTAAGATGGCAAGAAAATATACTCCAGTACCAGCTCAAAATAACTTTGTAAATCTAGCAGTTAATATTGATAATCCAGATACTTTAAGAGCAAGGTTAAATGCAAAATATCAATAAGAAACAGTTGGAACTAGTCAATCAGCTATTTTAAGATTATCTTAAGAAAGATTTCAACCTTTTGATAATCCCAATACCTATGAAGCCCAAATTCGTCTACTATTATTAGGTGTAGCAAATAATGATACATGAGTATTAGGAACTCTTAAAACTCATTTATCAGGTGATTGAGAACTTTATAGTTGGATAAGAAATAAAAATATAGAAGGTATTAATGAATTTTTCATTTTATTAAAAAATCTATAGCTTGAGCGTTCTAGTTTATATATAGATCAAAACTCTGATCAAGCACAATCAAAGAAAAAATCATTTACAAAGCAAAATGACAATGTTCAAAGTTCACAGCCTGCTAGCAATATTCTACAACCTATGGTTTTGCAACTAGCATTCCCCTTATATGATAAAATGCAAAAATCATTTTAAGCTATAATTGATAAACAGGATACTAAACATAAAGCTGAGATAGAAAAATTAAAAGCTGAGTTCGAATCAAAAATGAGTCAACAACCCAAAAAATCTCATCTTCCAGTTTCACCCAAAGATCATGAACAAATACATGAATTTTATGCAGATCAAGGGGATCCTAGATGGTTAAATCTTTCTAGAGAAGAAGCGCTATAGTGGTTAGATAAAGCTTTCCCTCCTCCCATAGCAAGTAAACCAGAGTGATTACGTTTATCAAATCAAAATGCTAGAATAGATAGAATAGAATCGAAAGTAGATGAAATTGGTCAAATAACATCTCAATTCAGAAGAATGATGCTTGATAATCAATCCAAAAAACCAGTAGCTAAATCAAATTCAACATATCGATACTTTCCTCCTCTAATACTTTTCTAATCCCAATATGCATCTCCCGATTCAGATGATATTGAGGATGGTGAAGGTGGATATAATGAGGAAGATAATATATAGCATGCTTCATCTCAGTTAGAAAAAAAAAACAGGTATTACTAGTAGATAATAAGTCTCATATTAATGCACAAAGTGTACTTACTAGGAAAGATATGATACCAAAAACTTATAATCAACTAATGAATTCATTATCACCAGCAATGCAAAGAATATATAAATCCAACTAGTCTCATAAAGTTCAGGAAGAAACCAATGAGTGGTTCTTATCAATACAATATCTGCATAGCAATATAAATAATTTAACAATCTCTAATAGTTTTTTAGATCCGGGTAGCGAATTTAGCACTATTAATAATGCAACCATTAAAATGCTTAAATGGGAAAATAATAAACAATCTGATTTTGCTATAAAGAGTGACAATTTGAAACATATTACTGAATCATTGGGATAGATTATAGATGTTCTAATCTTTATAAAAGATAAGGCAAGAAAAACAGTTACAGTTTCAGAAAATTTTACATGTATTGATAATAGTGAGCCCAAACTAATGCTTTGTTTAGGTATGACATGAATTAAAAAAGTTCAAGGTATTCTTAATCTAAATAAAAATCAATTTCAAATGAAGTTACATAGAAAGACCTATATTATTCCAACATATAACAAAGCTCTAGTAGCTAAGGATCTGCCAAAAGAGGAGCAGAAGGTAGTCACTCAGGAATCCTCCCCAAATGATTCAGCCCAAATTTTCTCTAGCCTAACTAGTGAGAATGATTTAAAAAAAAGTACAATAAACTTGAAAAGTGACTTATAAAGACTGAAGAGTGGCTTGATATAGCTTTAAAAGCAGGTAAAGCTCTTGCAGAAAGATGTTTTCAACTTACTAAGACAAATATGGAAGAATAGGAGCTAATCTTTTAGTATCTTTTATTAATTTTTCAAGATCAGATTCCCGTCTAGATGTATCATCTTTGAAAGAATTGGTTATTCTATTTTTTTTTATTGGAGAAGATTCACCTTTTGCCTTTATACTAATCTTTTGTTTTCGACTAACCTTATTTTTTTGTTCACTAGTTACTGTATTCAGCCTTATATGAGAATTTGTACCACCTTTATCATCTCCAAAATGCTCTATATAAATAACCTCATTTTCTTGTATATTAGTAGAAGAGGTATCATACTTAGTACTTACTAGCTGTAAAGATTCCTGGTTATTTTCTGAAATCTGATCAGAGATGCTAACAGATTCTAAGATTTTACACCACTCCTCAGTTGGTTTAGGAGACTTTTGATTATCGATGATTTTTTGATATGTTATTGCCCCTATATGATGTTTTTTATACATAACACGTCGAGCATTTGGAATATTATTCTGAGCATTTCTGATTTCTTCAATGGCTTCAGGTGACAAGCGGGTGGCATCTGA